ATCCAAGGTTACATACTTTCTTCGGCGGTAACTTCGTACAAGGTTATATGATATCGATATTTTGTTAGTTAATGCACCAGATCGGTATTTCTCGAAGTTTAACTTTGAAGAATGTCGTTGATGGGTTCTTCTGCTGTTTGTTTCTTTGTGCCTCATACTATGACATTTTCTACAACAGTGTTCTTTATACGGGCAGAACGTCTTAGAGTGCCAACCTCCAAATGACCAACATGGAGATAGGGGCTGGTTGTCTGTGATGAATACTTTTCTTGGGCAGAAATCTTTCCTTTCGCGTACAGTATGAACGCGTGGCAACCGACTATTATTTTCAACCATGGAAGTATCGTGTTTTAAGTTTACCAGTCTATGTCACTCTGTGGTAACTTATTCTCATGTTATGTTCAGACATTGTTCAATTCTGCTCAAAATTGTGGTTCTCATATCAGCATCTTCGGAAGATTGTAGGCTGCCAACAAATACGAGACACCTAAACTGATCTTCTGTCATTGTTGATAGTTTGAAGCGCCCACTCTCGCGGTGTACTAAACCGACATGCTTCACCCAGTTATCATCAGCTGCATTTGTTAACTAATATTGAACAAGGATGACTTTTCGGCAAATATTTATGACAAAATATCAATCGTTTCATCAAAAGAAAAATCGGCGAGACAATAATTTATGGACGAGTCAATCAGAAGAGTCTGAGGGATTTCAAAGTCACGGCGCCAATTTCAGTATCTGATGCTCATGTGTGTCAAAGAATTCCTTTCGTGGTTTATAGTTTAGTTTATATGATGTAAAACGCCGCCTGTGGCACTTATAGATTTACAGCCGGCCCTAGGCCCCCGAGCACATCATGTAGAAAACTAACTCGTTGAAGAATCGCTAACCAGAACTGATGGGTGGCCCGTTCTCCTCCACAAGGGCTAACAGGCTTAAGTAAGTAAGTAATTTATGTAATGTCTGCAATTTTCAAGACCATTCATCTGATTGCATCATCACTCAGTGTTAACCGGATCACCATTGATACAAGATAAGGTATTTCGTCATTGTGTCAATCACATTACAACCATTAAATTTGTACCTTCATATGTGTATATATCACTATTGGTTGAATTATTTCTCAACAATATCTATACCCTGATTATCTGTTAAATACTAATCTTATCTTTCAAAGAATTCACCTTATCTGTTAATTGTTTTACAGTGCAAAGATCATTATATCTCGTTTTATATAAACAAAGCAAATTCTAATTGTAAATCAACATTCATTCTCTATTATCTATACAGTTTCAATACTAATCGAAATACTTCTGTTAATCATATTACTATCATTATAAGTAGTATTGTTACCCCTATTCAAAAGTGTTATTATTCAGGAAGAGTTTAGTTGTTACAATGAAATGTAAGTGAATAATATTGATTGAATAGAAAGATTAATTAACCTGGCGGCATTTGGTATTATTAACACATATATCTTCCTATTGTTGCTTAGGTCTATAATGGATCAGTTTATCTCTTATTGATATATGTTCATACTGTATGGTTTGCTTCGCTATTGCCTTTATTCACAAGAATTATAAGTCAAGATGAATCGTGGTTTATAGTGAAAACCAACTTCATATGCGTTTCGTCCTTTTCGTGACTCATCAGCTGACTGTACCTTCTTTATCAGTGTTAATGTTCAACTATTTATCTTTGCTTATCAAATTCATTTCATTAGTTTTACTTTCTTATTCTTTTTAAATCTAGTTGAAAAACATGGAGAAAGTTATTTAACAGAATTGAATAGTTACCAAGTAGGTTATCGATTTGTTTGTTTATGTATTCAATTACATCATAACATAAATATCTAGATTAGAATAGAACCAAATCAACAAGTAACCAGTATCGATTCTTATAATAAGGTAATTTATTAAAACAAAACAAGATGGTACCTAATTTGTAAGCCAAGTGCTATAGCTTTCCTACAATGATTAATCACATGGATAATGAATTATCTTTTGCTATGATCGTTAGATCATTTCATTCATTTGGAATCATTTGATTCTATTTATATTAAGCAGAACATTGAAGAAATTGTTAGAATCCAGGGACTGTGTTGTTGGGCTATGTTTGTAAGTTATGGTTTATCTATGGTTTATCTATTTCCGTTATGATGAAGATTTTTATTTTTTTAAAAATATTATTTAGTATTTACTCACTTACGTCTCTTACTGCGAATGAAGCATAAACCGCCAACTAGCATTCTCCAACACACTCTGTCCTGTGCCTTCATTTCTAGTCCTTCCCAATCGTTGTTCATTCTTCTCATGTATGTCTCCATTTCTCACAGTAATATGTTCTTTGATCTTCCTCTTCTACGTTGACCTACGAGATTCCATGTGAGTGCTTGCATTGTGACGCAGTTGGGTGCTTTCCTCAATGTGTGTCCTATCTACTTCCAGCACTTCTCCCTGATTTCTTCCTCCACTAGAATATGGTTTGTTCTGTCCCACAGTAGTTTGTTGCTGATAGTGTCTGGTCAAAGGCTTCGAAGCATTTTGCATGGACAACTGTTAACAAACATCTCTATCTTTTGGATGATGGCTTTCGTTGTTCTCCAGGTCGCCGTCACGTACAGTAGAAAGTTCCTGATGTTTGTATTGAAAATTCTGACTTTGGTGTTGTTTGACAGACAATTGTTTTGAGTTCCATATATTCTTCAGTTGTAAATATGCTGCTCTTGCTTTGCCAATCCGCGCTCTCACATCACGGAATTTAATACATTTCAAACTACTTTGTATCAGTAAGTAGTATGAACGACTCATAAAAAGTGTGGCAATCACGGATTAGAATTTGATGAAAGGATAAATCATCAATTCACCCTAACACAATTAAGTCAAAATCAAGTTGTTCACATTTGAGACTGGAGAATCTGTGATATAAGATAACCATTATATATTTCATTCAAGGGATAACCATAAAAATCTCTGCATCATTTACTCATATCTATCCAACTATCTTTCGATCTTTAAAATATCAGTCATTGTTTCTGCATCAGTCTGAACTTTATTTTCAATCTATATTTACTGTGTATTACTACAGCTGTTAAGAACTCTTCATTGATTTGGAGATGGGTCTCCTACCACAACTACAATTTAAATTTACATGGAACTACATACTATTGGTATTTAATGTAAGTAGTTATGAATGATACTTGTGAATATTGATCATTGACACCATTATATGATTTGATCTCACAATATCTATTTCGATAGTATATATTTAGGTCAATTCTCTTCTAATACAGAAAGACATTCATTCTTCTGAACCATTCTAATTCAAACCATTTGGAGTCAACAAATATAAATGTCTGGTTGACTAACTACACGGTTACATCTCATCCTATTAAGTTGAGTGAGTGAAGATTGTTTAGGTTATCCTTCTCTTTAGGTTCTAGAATTTTCCATGATGAATTATATAAAGTTGATATCTCATTCCGAAAACATAAATGGCTTCATGAAATTGACTTTGTGGCTGATGTTAAGTAGTTGGATAAATTCAGAAGGAAACCTTGAACATACGTGTTTTTAATAGTTGATACTAGTCAATACACCACATTCATCATATTGACGACTATCTGGTAGTACGACACTCAGTTCTAGACTTTCCTGTTATTTGCATACAACCATCAAAGCATACTGACTGCAAAGCAATGATTAGTCATTTAGATTAGTAGACATATTCAAGTTGGATGAAATGTAATAATCAGCCACCTTCGAATTGACTCCTCATACATCTACAATTCATTATCGTGATTCAGTGAGATAAGCCGACATAGTAGTTTGTCAACCAATGCTCATTCATAACTAGCTTCAATATATTTCTCAATTACTAACATTCAAAAAAATGTAGAGTAACAAACAACACAGTAAAAGATTTGAAAGTTGCATTTTCCACTTTATTGTACATTCCAATTGTCGGGCCAGCGAAATATCACTGAGCTCTAGTCAAGTCATCTGACAGTTGAATCACCGCATATCGAACAGATAGTCGATCCATATCAAATTCACTGACAACCGACGCTCATCAGTTAATTGTATGGCATGGACCGATTCATGGGATCGTCATAATGTCGCTCGTACCTACTCTTACTAATATATTTCAACAATAACGTCCTTAGCTTTGATAGATTGAAGGGACAATCCGCATTTATCTATTTATTTGTTTGTTTGAACACATAAATATTGGTATAAAGCGGCAAAAGATATATATGCGCGGATGTTTTTCCTAAGAGGCCACACCCGGTACCTTTGACCTTAAGATCTGGTCCACAAGGCAGTGCTGCATCGTAGGATGATGCGTTCCCATGTTAGCCGGTCACAACGATTGATTCATACGCCATTTGTTCCCTCAGAATACTGGAGCCAGCCCATGGGCACCAATGGTTTGGAATCAGGGTATTTCATCTACCGTAGGTGGACGCGCTGTGTCTATCAACGCAGTTAAAGCACCGGATATTCGCATTTCGTTCTCTCAATTTCGTAAACAACAACCCTGGTGTGAGACGGCAGTGAGAAGAACTTCCCTGAAAGAGGCTATATAGGCATGGCCATATAAGAGCATTTGGAGAGGCAGAGTGGACTCTCCCTACTCTCGGCCGTACCAGGGCATTTGGTGACTGTGAGGTGTGTCTTCGATTTTAACTGATTCGTCACACAATTCCCGTCCAACGCCAGCAGGTATTATGATAATTTGGAAGATAGATGATTTTTCACATTGATTCTAATTTTATGTATTTATTTTTATTTGATAGTCGATGATTCTTGCGATCCCAGCTTCAAGGTCACTTTCTGAATTGGACATTATATGGTTTCCAAGTAGTTGGATTATTACATTGGGAATTACATTATTCATTATAATATTCGGCGGATTAAAACGATTCGATATACAAAGATCTTTCAATGTATTCTTTACTGTTATATTCACTCTACAATCAGTAGTTTATATCGTTCACATTGTATTAAATCATTTTGGTTGCTATGATGTAAGTGAGTTTTTGCTCATTGGATAATTGTATATTTTGAGCAATATTAGTTGGTAAACAACTTAATTCAACCAAATCAAAACATCATATCAACACATAAAGTTATTGACTATTGTCCTGTATCACTAGTTAGATGCTCTCAAATTTGCAGTGATTATTCAGTTTATGTTAGTCATAGATGTTTATTGTCACTGAATTTATTTTACATACTTACACCTGGTACCCCCAATTAAGCAAATGCCGCCAACTAGCATTCTCCAACACACACCCTGATTTCTTCCTCCACTGGAATCTGATTTGTTCCCTCTCACAGTAGGTTGTTAATGATAGTGTCTGATGAACGGGTCCGAAGTATTTCTCGTAGACAACTGTTATTAAACACTTGAATGGCTTTCGTAGTTCTCCAGCTATCCTACTGCTGTTGAGGGTGCTGCCACACTGATCGTATTCTACTGCATGTGTTAGCTGTGCGATAGATGAGCCAGATTATCCGCGGGGTCCAAATCGTTCAGCTGCATCCTAGCTGTCCACTATGTCCCATGCGTTTCTCCAGATGTTGACTTCTTCAAAATCCAGAAGAAAGAGGACAGGTGAGATTGAGCAGCCTTGCATGACACCGCTCTTTACTTCGAACGAGTCTGTCAGCTGTCCTCCATGCTCGAATTTGCAATTTTATCAATCATAAGAAACCCGTACGACATTGACTATCTTCTTTGGCACGCCGTAGTATCAAAGAAGCCTCTGTAGTATGTACTGTCCATGCTATCAAATGCCTACTTCAATGAAGTTGAAGTAGAGTGATGAAATTCATTCAATTGATTGTTCCACATTGATCCGTAGAGTTGCGACTTGGAGTGAACACGATCGATTCCTATGGAATTCATCCTGTTGATCTTGAAATTGGGCGTCTACGGAGTCCTGGTACTGAGAGAAGAGTGCTGCCTCTGATTGTCACTGAATAGTAAAAGTAAATGTACACTTATTCATCCAAATAAATTCCTATTTGTATGATAAAACTAATCATTATTATTATTGTTATTCAATAGGTAATCTTGATTATTTCTGGATTTCGAATGCTACTGACAATCATCTATGTAAGTAATTCAGAAGTATAACCCAAATACTTGTGATCACTTTTAATGGTTGATATTTGTGATGTCGTTGATATGATCAATTGAAAATTGTTCATCTCCAAATATGAATCCACTGAACGATTGTCTTCACTTCCTATGTTATGACAAGTTGATTTCATTTAGGATATACTGACTACCAGTGTTTCGTTCTGTCTATAAGTCACGAGCAGTTTGGGTCTGAGTTCGGTTAAGATGAAATATGTGCGCAAGATTTCTCTGCCAGCATCTATCCAAAATACATTAAGGGTTTATGTATTCTTCATACTTTTGCTCCTCGTCGAAGATTTATTGTGTATCGTTGTAAATTCTATTCCTAACATTTCTCATTAAATATCATCACTGTTTTGAGCAGTTGTTTGTTTGAAGATACACTAATCAGTTACAGAAGAGTGACCAATACTTAGTCATCCTATCATCAGGATCAAGTTTTCAAGGTCTCCACTTACATGGAACTTAACACTGTATTGCACCTAAATTTATGACAAATGAATAATTTCTTAATGTATAAACCTATGTTTATTCAAGCAAATTTAATTACATGAGGGTGTTAATGATAAACTAATGGATTGTTAGAAGACGAAACAGTCGAAATGGGATATGTTTACCTTTTCAACATTCGCGCCCCTGAGGGCTTTTCCGAGATGAAACGACGAGTAATTGAAACGGGAGTCGGCTTTGTGTGATCAGTGTTCTGCAGTACCTTCGAATTTGTTTCATGTGCTTTATACGTGTTCTGAAATTTTTCCGGATTACGTACAGTACACTTCCGATCTGACGTGCTATTACACCTGGTTCTTACTTCCTTTCACCTTGCTACGATTTCACAAGTACCCTTTCACCCACCTGGAAGTGACCATACGATACTCATTAGCGGTTTATTCTTCTTTCTCTGTGGCAACATACTGCTAAAGACTGTCCGGATTTTCCTTCCGAACATACATTCGACTGGTGACTTTCCTCCTGGTACTACCGGAATAGGGGTAACTTATTAACACATTAGGAACTTGATGATCACTTGCTCTTGAGCACCCTATCCTTCTCCTTTGATCAGAGCTCTTTTCAATGTATCCACGAATCTTTCTACTTGGCTATTCGACTGAGGATGGTACGGAGGAGACTGTGGATGCGATATATCATATTCATTGCAAAACCGTTTAAAAACAGGTGACATGAACTGAATGCCGTTGTCAGTCATTAAAAACTATGGAACCACAAAACAAGCAAACAATCCTGATAATTTTCTTATTGCACTCTCTATGGTCATTTTCGTCATTTTTTGAACGCGTTGATAACAACCAAGAAATTTCTGCCTTGCATTGGACAGGCGAAATCAGCTTGTATTCTTTGCCATTAACCGTCCGGTCTTGGCCATGGTTGTGGTTCTGCTTTTATTGGGTTCTTTGCAGCCCCTTAACAGAACGAACAGCTGCAAACTCTTTGTTCGACATCACGGTCCTTTAAAGGCCAGTATGCATAGCTCCGAGTTAATGACTTCATTTACTTGAGCTGCATCTGCCAATGCTGTATGAACCTCAGCCTCAACATCTAGGGCAGCTATAAGCACTTCCTCTTCTTGTTTTGTATAAGAACTAATTAATCTTGAGAGGGCATCTCCCTGCCCAAATTCCGTTGTTAGTTGATGTTTACCTTCAAATCATAGCCCAGAAGTGTAGTTGACCATCTCTGTAGACGGATTGCTGTATATACACTGATACATTTCTAGGATCTAAAAACTGTCAGTAGCGGATTATTGTAGGTTAATAACGTAAACTGGCTGCTAAATAGCAACTTGTTGAAATTTTTCAGCGAATATAATAGAGAGGGCCGCTTTTTTCTCTCTGACTGTAGTTCCTTTCTGTCATAGTGAGCGACCATGCATGATGGGCGATTGCCTTCTCAGATCCATCTGGGTAGGTGTGTGAAATTACTGCTCCGATTCCATGGTTTGACACATCTGCTGCGACTATAATTGGAAAATCTGGATCATAGTGTGTGAGCAGATTGTTTGATGATAGGAGCTGTCTTAGTTCAAGGAATGCTTCTTGGTATTCGGCTGAGCAGAACCATTTGGTATCTTTTATTAGTAACCCGTTAACAAGCGTACGGAGTCGATGCAGATCTGTAAGGAAAACGCAATGATGACTGACCAGTCCCAAGAAAGAACGTAAAGTTGATACATTAGTCGGTGAATGAATGGACTTGATAGCCTCGACGTTTTCAGGATCAGGTTTTCTTCCCTTTTCCAACGACTATGAATCCCAATTAGCGGACCAGCTCCATATAGAACCCATAAACTGCTGTGCGTCTGACAAATGTATCCACCTTCTTCTCTAAGTCAGCATAGTCTGTACCCATGATTGACATGTCGTCGAGATAGGCCGCAGTACCAGGCAAATCTTGTAGCATAGTATCCGTAACTTCTTGGAAGATTAGAGGGGCGGTCTTTACTCAAGATGGAAGTCTGTTATATCGGAATAACCCTTTATGAGTGTTTATTGTCAAATAATGTTTACACCCTTCCGCTACTGGAATCTGTAAATAAGCTTCTGATAGGTCCATTTTTGCAAAATACTTCCCCACATTCGGCTTCGCGAATAAGTCTTCTGACAACGGCAAGAGATACTGATGAGCTTCAAGTGTTTTATTTAATCCACTCGAACAATCTGCGCATAGTCGGATACTTCTATTGAGATTTTTATCAAATACTGTCGGTGCTGTCCAATCAAAAATATTCACGGTCTCTATAATTCCACTTCATCGCAGTCTCTATAATTCTTGTTCAACAATGGGTAGAGCTGTGTAAAGTACAGGTCTTTTGGGCCGGAAGATGGGAGTGGAGCCAGATTTGACAATGCTTTGGCCTTCGTACATTCTCCCGATTCGTTGTGGTGTCTTCGCAGCACGGCATTTTTCTGGTTACACTCTAAGGAGTTGTCAGTTGTAATTCGTCTGTTAATAAAAATGGTCTGCTAGTCCAAGTGTCTCTATATGATCCAATACCAATAAGTCAAGCGCTCAGTTCTTCATAATCTGTTTTGTTGCATTTCTCGTTACAACACATTTAGAAACAATGCATGGTATTTCTCCAACAATATTTAACGTTTCACTGTGCTGGCACACAGTGTTGTTGGATGCACTGTGTGTCTCGATATCTTCCTCCACGTTTCTAGTCTGGGGGTTACTTCTTGTCATGTTATGTTCAGACACTTTTCAATTTCGCTGCACACAATTATGAGACATTTAAACTGATCTTCTGTCATTGTTGATAGTTTGAAGCGCTCACACTCACGGTGTACTAAACCGGCATACTTCTCCCAGTCAATTTTAGGATAACTGTTAAAAAATACTTGCGACAAAATATCAATCGTTATATCAAAACAAAAATCGGTGTAACAATAATTTATGGACGAGACAATTAGAAGAGTCTGAGGGATTTCAAAGGCACGGCGCCAATTTCAGTACCTGACGCTCATGTACGAATGGTTCACAGAGGATTTTAGATAAGACATGACAAATAAGCGACTACAATAAGTAAGATTACTAAGAATTTCCCTCATTTAAAATGACAGCGATCAAATGACTTGTAGACCTTGAGCAGACTACCATGATATCTTTCGATGTAACATTTTAAAAGAAAGCTTTTGCTAGAACATGAACTTTTTCTGCTCGATCCAGATTGAGACTGAGGCATATTATAATAACTGCCGCCAACTGTATAATAAAAGCGACAGTAGAATTGGCTGCAATAATCGCAGATGTTACTAAAACTTCGGCCGTTCAGTGGTATGAGTATTGTAGGGACATATCCATAATAAAAGTGATAAACTTACCCAACCGGATTACATACAAACAATAATGAAGCTATGTGGTTGAGGCTGACTGAGTTTTCAAGACTTTATCACGGCTCCAGAGACCGACAATTATGTAGCCGTATAGATGAGTTCCACTACCTTATGCATTACAATTTTGGAACTTTTGAACCTTTTTCTAACCTTGACAAGTTTTTGGATCATATAAATGAAGTGTATCCACTTCAACAATTTGGTTTTGTATAATATAATTTTGCTCTATGCTAACCGTTCGCTGATTGGCTAATATTTCTCAAAATCACTCAAGATTCGTTCGAAGGTCGTCCATAATTTATGGTCTCGCCGAAAAATCTCTTGGGTTTTTTGGAAGGATGGAATTACTGTAGTGTTCATGCTCCACTGTGCAATTTTTCTTAAAGGTATTCTGATCACTGAATAATGACGACAGTCATAGTTGACTATTTCTCAGTGATGAACGAATTATTTAAATGAACATTCTAAGTACTCCTTGTCAACAAGTGTCAACTAGCTTGAGTCCAGAATTTCTTGCCAATCTCTTCCAATCAACTTATATTACAAATAATCTACTCGATATCGAGTTGCTTAGATTTGTAGGTGCACTACAAGTTGATTGGTAAGATTTGATCAGCATTCAACAGATTCAACAGACAAACACGACAGTGATCACTACTCGGCAATCAACTAATATAACCTACTTATATATTTGTAACATCATATAGTAGGGGAAGAAGGAAATAAACATCCTAATCACTGTGAATTCCATTCTAGGTAATTTTTCAACACAATCAAACACTGTCTTCTATTCATTATCAATCTCATTGAATTAAACAAACTCCATGGAAATTGTCACATATTCTCACATAATCTTTTCAAATATCTTTCATATGTTTTCGATTGTATTCTGTGTGTTGTGAACAGTAATATCTCATGTTGGTTTGCTTCATTCCTTCTTATCTTTCTTGTTATATCACACTATTTCTCGTTGAATCATCTTCAGTTTATCTTCTCTTCATTTCACTTTGTTTTCTCTCTATTATGTCAAAGAATTCCCTTGTGGATTATAGTTCAGTTTATATGATGTCTAACTCTGCCAGTAGCTCTTATAGAGTTACTGCCGGACCCAAGCCCGGATATAGGAGGAGGGTTGTGCATGGGGTTAGCGACCCCATCCTGTTAAATACTAACTCGCTGAGAAAACGCTAACCAGAACTGGTGCGCAGCTCATGCTCCTTTTCTAGGGGCAATAGGCATTAGTAAGTATGTATATAACTTACTTAAAATGCCGCCATGTCAATCACATTACAACCATTAACTTTGTACCTTCATATCAGTATTAGTTGAATTATTTCTCAACAATATCTATACCCTGATTATCTGTTAAACCTTAGTCTAATCATTCAAAGAATTCATCTTTTCTATTAGTTGTATTACAGTACAAAGATCATTATATCTCCTTTATATTAATAAATAAATTGCAATTGCAAATCAACATTCATTCTCTATTATCTATACAGTTTCAATACTTATCAAAATACCACTGTTAATCATATCACTATAAGTAGTACTCTTGCCATTATTCAAAAGTGTCAATCAGAAATAATTTGATTGTTGCAATGAGATGTAAGTGAACAATTTTTGATTGAATAGAAAGAATTATTAACTTGGAGGCATTTGGTGTTATTTACATGTATCTTCTCATTGTTGATTAGGACTACAATGAATCCTTTTATCTCTTATTGACATATGTACATAGTGTATGGTTTGCTTCGATGTTGTCTTTTTCACAGAAACTATAAGTAAAGATGGATCGCGGTTAATAGTGAAATCCAATTTCATGTGCGTTTCATCCCATTTGTGACTCGTCAGACGGATATCCTCGCATCTCAGAGTTAATGTTCAACTATCCATCTTTGTTCATAAAATCAATTCCATTAGTTTTACTTTCATATTCTATTTAGATCCAGTTGAAAAACATAAAGAAAGTTGTTTAACATAGGTGAATAGTTACCAAGTAAGTTATTGATTGATTTGTTTATTTATTTAATTACATCACAACATAAATATCTAGATTAGAATAGAACCAAATCAACAAGTAACCAGTATCGATTTTTATAATAAGGTAAATTATTAAAACAAAACCCAAAAAAGTATGATACTTAATTTGTAAGGCAAGTGCTATAGCTTTGCTGCAACTACTAATCATATGGGTAATGCATTTTCCTTTATTATTATCGTAAGTTCATTTTATTCATTTGGAATCATCTGAACATCTGATTCTGTTTATATTAAGTCATCCATTGAAGGAATGGTTACGAACTGCGAATTGGTTCGTTGGGCTATGTTTGTAAGTTATTATTAATATGGTTTATTTATTGACGTTATAATAAGTTGAATAAGAAGAGAATAAGGACAGAAAATACAATCGAACTTAACACCTGGGTGTATTCTATTAAGATTTAGATTTCAAAGTTGCCGAAATTACGATTGTTTCGGTCAGCTTGACGAAAGGATATAACACGATCATATCATAACCCCTGCTTCATAGTCATCAATTCACCCTAACACAATTTAGTCCAATTCATGTTGTTCGCATTTAAGACTGGTGAATCCGTGATATAAGATAACCATTATATATTTCATTCAATAGATAACTATCACAATCTGTACATGATTTACCCATATCTATCCAACTATCTTTCAATCTGTAAAATATCCGTCATTATTTCTGCATCAGTCTGAACTTTATTTTCAATCTATATTTGCTTTGTATTTTTACAGCTTTTTAGGACTCTTCATTGATTTGGATATGGGTCTCCTACCACAACTACAATTTAAATTTCGATGGAACTACATAATATTGGTATTTAATGTAAGTAGTTAACAATGATACTTGAGAATTATGATCATTATCACCATTATACGATTTGATGTCACAATATATTTCGACAGTATGCATTTCGGTTAATTCTCTTTTAATACTGAGAGACTTTCATTCTTCTTAACCTTTCTAATTCAAACCATTTCGAGTCAACAAATATAAATGACTGGTTGACTAACTACACGGTTACATCTCATCCTAATTAGTTGAGTGAGTGAAGAATGTTTAGGTTATCCTTCTCTTTAGGTTCTAGAATTTTCCATGATGAATTATATAAAGTTGATATCTCATTCCGAAAACATAAATGGCTTCATGAAATTGACTTTGTGGCTGATGTTAAGTAGTTGGATAAATTCAGAAGGAAACCTTGAACATACGTGTTTTTAATAGTTGATACTAGTCAATACACCACATTCATTATATTAACGACTATCTGGTAGTATGACACTTAGTTCTAGACCTTCCTGTTAATCGCATACAACCATCAAAGCATACTGAATGCAGCGCAATGATTAGTCACTTAGATTAGTAGACATATTTTAGTTGGATAAAATGTATCAGTCAGCCATCTTCGAATTGACTCTTCACACATCTATAATTGATTATCGTGATTCAGTGAGATAAGCCGATATAGTAATTTGTCAACCAATGCTCACTCATATCTTGGTTCAATATATTTCTCAATTACTAACATTCAAAAAAATGTGGAGTAACAAACAACACAGTGGGAGATTTGAATGTTGCATTTTCCACTTTATTGTTGATTCCCATTGTCGGGCCAGTTAAATGTCACTGAGCTCTAGCCAAATCATACGGCAGTTGAATCACCGCAAATCGAACTGATCGTCGATCCATATCAAAGTCATGGACAGCCGACGCTCATCAGTTAATCTTACAGCAAGGACTGGTTCATGTGATGGTGTTTGTCACAGTGTCGCTTGTACCTATTTTAACTAATATGTTTCAATAATAACGTCCTTAGTGTTTTACAGTCTTCAAAGGGTTCATAGTAATTTGATATATGGAAGGGGCAATCCACATAAGGTGTGGACTGTGAGGTGTGTATTCGACGTTAAGTGGTTCGTCACACTATTCCCTTCTAATTCCAGTAGCCTCTGAATCATTCGATAGAGATCATCTACCTTCATGATCTATACCATCCTGTTGAATATTACTACATATCTGTTATATTCAATCAAATAATTAATGATTATTTGGATGATAGATCGTCACTTTCTGAATTGCAAGTTTTATGGATTCCAAGTAGTTGGATTATCACATTGAGAATCACGTTACTGACTTTATTATTCGGCGGATTAAAACGATTCGATATACAAAGATCTTTCTATACATTCTTTACTGTTATATTCACTTTACAGGCAGTAGTTTATATCGTTCTCATTGTATTGAATCTTTTTAGTTGCTATAATGTAAGTGAGATTTCGATTGTTGAATAATTTTCTAGTTTGAACAATGTTATTTGGTATTTATCTTATTGTGGACAAATCAGTAGGATATTTTCTTATGGAGTTTGATATCTAACAATAAGTTGTTAAAAACATCGCACTCATTAGATTCTTGTTCATTTCTTTCTTTCTTTCCTATTCATAACAAACATCAATGTCATCCCTTTACAATTGTTTATTGATCGGCTAGCCGTTCTGAATACACGAACATCTTCATGATATTTTCTACCTACCACCTATTTCTGTAGGTAAATGCAACTGATTTTGAAGCGATAGAATCAATACAATTAAAGTTGACTAAATGAAGAAACACCATATCAAACATAAAATTATTAACCGGTTTCCTAGATCACTAGTTAGATGCTCTCATATTTGCAGTGATTATTCAGTTTATGTTAGTCAGTAATGTTAATTGTCACTGAATTTATTTTGCTTACTTACTTCTGTTTTTCGAAAAGAAGTGAAGGTTGCCACCTAGCATTCTCCAACACACTCTGTTCTGTGCCTTCCTTTCTAGTTCTTTCCAATTGTTGTTCATTCTTCCCATGTCTGTCTCCATTTATCACAGCAATGTGTTCTTCGGTCTTCCACTTCTAAATTGAACCTCAGGGTTCCATGTGAAAGCTTGCCTTGTGACGCAGTTGGGTGATTTCCTCCATGTGTGTCCTATCCACTTTCAACACTTCTCCCTGATTTCTACCTTCACTATAATCTGGTTTGTTTTCTCTCTCAGTAGATTGTTGCTGATAATGTCTGGTCAACGGATCCGAAGTATTTTGCGTAGACAACTGTTAATAAACACTTGTATCTTCTGAATGATGCCCAGCACACTAGAACTGTCTTGATATTTGTATTGATATTTCTGACTTTGGTGTTTTTTGACAGACGATGGCTTTGAGTTCCAGATGCTTATCAGTTTTAAATATGCTGCTGTTGATCTGTATCAGATCCGATGTATTCATTAATGATGCTGCCCAGAGATATGAAGGTTTTCATATCCTACAAAGCCTCTCCGTTAAGTGTGATTTGATTGGTGTGTGCTGTTGCATCTGAGAATCTTGCTTTTCCCTTTGTGTATGTTGAGGCCTACTGCTGTTCAAGTTACTTCCACACTGATCGTCTTCTCCTGCATTTGTTGGTGCGCGTGTGATAGATGAGCCGGATTATCTGTGAGATCCAGATCGTTCAACTTCATTCTAGCCGTCCACTATGTCCCATGCTCTCCCCCAGATGTTGAGGTCCTCATAATCCAATCGACCATCAGAACAAAGAGGAGAGGTGAGAGTGACCAACCTTGAGTGACATCGACCTTTACCTCGAAGAAGTATATCAGCTATCTTAAATGCACGAATTTTCAGTTTAATCCATCACAGGAATCCCGTATGATATTGACTTTCTTCTCAAGCACACCATAGTGTCTTAGCAACCTCTGTAGTATTGTCCTGTCTCCGCTATCAAATGCATTCTCGTAGTCAATGAAGTTAATGTAAAGTGACGCGTTTTATTCAATTGATTGTTCCACAATGATCCGTACTGTTGCGATTTTGTGTGAACACGACCAATCTTCACGGAATCTATCCTGTTGATCTCGAAGTTGGACGTCTACAGAGTCCTTCACTCTGTTTAACAACACCCTGTTGAAAACGTTTCCTGGTACTGAGAGAAGAATGATGCCTCTGATTGTCACTGAATCTGCACTCATCCCTCCACATAAATTTCAATTTGTATAATAATAATTATTATTATTATTATCATTTTTGATTAGGTATTCTTGATTATTTCTGGATTTCGAATGCTACTGACAATCATCTATGTAAGTAATTCAGAAGTATATAGTCCAAATCTTGTTATCACTTTTAATGGTTGATATTTGTAGTGTCGCTGATATGATCAATTCAAAATTCTTCATCTCCAAATATGAATCCACTGAACGATTGTCTTCACTTCCTGTGTTATGACAAGTTGATTTCATTCAGGATATACTATCTACCAATGTTTCGTTTTGTCTAGAAGTCATGATCAGTTTAAGTCTGAGTTCCATTAACATGAAATATGTGCGCAAGATTTCTCCATCAGCTTCTGTCCAAAATACATTAAGGGTTTAGATATTCTTCATACCTTTGCTCCTCGTCGAAGATTTACTACGTAGCATTGTAAATTCTATTCCTAGTATTTCTCATTAAATATCACCACTGATTTGAGCAGTTGTTTGTTTGAACTTACACTAATCAGTTACAGTAGAGTGACCAATACTTAGTCATCGTATCGTCAGGGTCCAGTTTTCAAGGTCTCCACTTACGTGGAACTTAACACCGCATTGCACTTTAACTGATGACAGATGATTATTATTGTAATGTTGAAACGCATATTTGTTCAAGGTTCTGGATAAATGTGCGAACGTAATTAGATGAGGGTGTTCTTTAAATTATCCTCTGTACATGCTATTAACAATCGAGTGATCTCAATTGGATTAACGTTGAAAATTATAAACTAATGGATCATAAAAGGCGAAACAGTCGAATTCGGAGATGTGTACGAATGAACGTTAACTAGATATTCTTCTGGTTGAGGACTGTTCACGAGACTCAAAGCTGTAGTGTTCCATTTGTCACATGTTAATGGATAAGTAATTCTGAAAAGCTATATAAAAAAAATTCACTGTTCACTATTTCATTATGATCAGTGTTACATCGACTGATGATGCTCTTACATGAATTACACAATTATTATGTGAAATATGTTATAATGAGTAGAAAGTATTTGTGTACTTTTATCTGGTATTCTGATGTACTGAAGGAAGATTAAGTGAAATTGAAAACTTATGTGAGATATTGTCCAGTTGACAAATACAATGGTGAAGTAGGTGAGTTATTTATCAAGAGAGGTGGGCTAATAAGAACACACACATTCATTCTTAAATAACTCACTACAATTTCACAGAATGCTTTTGCATTAATCATTTTCAGATGATCAAGTTAGCAAACTAAAGAGTAGAGAAGAAATAACATCATGGTGAACGCTGACATAAACTATAATATTTTGTTATAGTATGGGACTACTTGATAATGTACATCCACGATCTCAACCACGAGATTCGAAACCCATAACTGTTCGATCAAATGCTTCCATGTTTTCTAGTCATAAAATGTATTCAACCATTAAATTACTAAAATCTTCACACATCACCCTTCTAATTACAATATTATGTGTTTAGTCCTAGCCGTCATTGAAATTGACAGTAACATACTTAAGTGGAACGATGGGTATACACATGGTTTTAGATGATTGAAATTAAAGCATGATACTGATCAATATGTACATTGATTTCAGGAATTGGCAATTGCAACTCAAGCAATTTTTCCAGGTGATAAACGATTCAGTTTTCGAGATGATCAATATTTTCTATTTGGATTAGTACTTGCAACAATAATGATTTGGATGAATATGATCATTTCAAGTGAAATATCGCTTATATGCAGTGTATTTAATAAAACATGCAATGTATCCACGAACGCAAGCCAATATATTTCGGAGGAACAAATGAATATGTACTTGTCTATAGACATTCATTAGTGATTGTCCATGACTGTTATCATTTGTTCTGTGAAACTGTTATTTGGATCACAAGATCATTTACTGTTAATTTGCCATACTAAAAATTGTAACCAAAATTGCTTTCTTCCTATGTGATTCATTAAATGAATTTTTCCTATACATCTGTAGGTGATGATTCTATTGTTGTATATACGAAGTTGAACTTTTTCTTTTCATTCTGCTTGTTCTATCATGAATATAAGGTTTTCACATAATTTTACTTCGTGTTATGGTGTTGAACACTAGTTCTCGTTATTGATATACACAGAAGAACCGGTTGTATTATTGTGAAGGAGAACACAAGTGGGAACAGTCAAATATATAAGAATACAATATTACCGAATATCTTAGTAGAATCTGGAACCATATAGTAAATAATACACCTGCGAAATATCAGTTAATCACCTCAGAATTCATTGTTCCTCCGTCTCCACACCAATCACTCACTGTTCTCGTTCTCATTTCTTCGATCTTATTCACCTTCTGAGACCAGGTTTCTCACGTTCGACTGATGATACATACTACTCATATCTATCGACATCAGTAGGACACACCACAATAATTTTGTCAGTATTAGAACTCGAAGTATTAAAACTTGACAGAAATTATACCACTTCTATATGTGTAAATTATTCACATGCTGTGTTGATTTATTTCCGAAAGGAAACTGGTCAACGACGTTTGTACTTCTTCAATATTACAATAAGGTATAATGAGTAATCGACAGTTGCCATACAGTCTCATTGATTTACATTTGTCCTTCAAACAAACACTTACTTTCTCTTTTGATCTCAATCAGTTTAATAAGTGGTATATAATTACTTAGAGATGAATGTCTTAGATGAATCCCTATTCTGTCATACACAATGTCTTAGTCAAAACGGGTCACTATGTATATAACCAGCAAGTATAATCTGTTTGTAACAAATAATTCAATAGAATGAGGTGTTTGCACGAACTAATGATTCCTTCGTATTTGATTGCCCGCTTACTACGAATTCTAAATATACTATGTTCATTTTCGCTCATCTAGTTGTAATTGTCTGAAATTGCACTATTTTGGGAATTCCGAGTTAGTACTGTTACGTTCTCTGCTCGATGGTCACAGAATACGACATTCACCTAACGGCACTCGGATGTACTTAACCCTTACGGTTGCAAATCAAAACACAGAAGATGCAGAAGTAGCGATTATCCGGTATGAGTAGAAAATGTACAGAAATACATGGGTATTTATAGACATTAGCGGTAGTTATAACATCATTATAGTCCGGTCAATTCGCAAGCAGGTAATTTATGCTACCGTCAAATAGTATTATGACACATTGATATTCTAGGCAGCTCCATCAGATTCCGAATGGGTAGAAATTCCTAGACTCTTTTAGAGCCTTTGGAGGCTCCGTCGTGTCACACCTGCACGGAAAGACATTTTCTCCTTGGGTTCACTTGCGGCCCCACAATTGGTTTGCTAATTTTTGTATTTCTTGTCCAAGTCCTCAGTCTTATGTTATTTCTGCTATCCTCAACCGTAAGTGTCGTTGATGTGTCTGTGAATAACTCTGATGAAACACTCACCTGATTATCTCTGATATCCATCATTCTTTCATCTTTGTGGATTTGGTTCGTACGTCTGATACATAACCTAGAAGTTCCTCGGACTCTGTACAAAACGTTTTACAATTTTTGTAAAATTGTTCCCACTATTCATCGATTCTTCCCGATGTATGGCTTGACAAACACTTTATCGCTAACATGAAATCAGCGGATATCTGGATCTCATCTGTACGCATCAACTATTTCAGGTGGCAACATAGTGTTGGAAATAGTGTCGTCCCTCATTTTAGTAATGATCTTCTAATAGTGTCTTCAAAGCATTCTCTCCGTCTGTTCTATTTGAGAAGATAGGGTGGAGAGCGTAAATGCGTTATTCCATTTATACTACAAAAGTGCTTGAATGAGTCCGAAGTGAATTGTGAGCCATTTGTAGTCACTAAGGTCTCTGAGACTCCAAAACAATTAAACAAACTATACAACTTAATGACTGTTTCTGACGCAGTGCAGTCAGGTATACTATTTGCTTCCGGCCATTTCATAAATGCATCCACAATAGCTAGATCTGGATCAGCGAAATCTGAGTGACGTCTCTCCTAGAGTCCAGCAGGCTTACGCCACTGTTGTGGTTTGCATTTTGAAGAGCTTTTAGTAGCTTGCAGACATGATAAACAATTACGATATTTGTTCTCGGTATCTCTGTTCATTGAGGGCCAAAACACGTTACTTCGTATCCTAGAAACTCAAACGAAGCAAATGACCATCACCCACTAAGGGATTACTAAAGAATCATGTAAATCACATACCGATTCCATCATCAATTCTCTTGAGAAATTTCATTTCGACTGTAAGTCTGGTATTACATTCGAATTCTGGTTCAACAAACATGAAAATTCGTTGACGGTCAACCTCAACATACTTGTTGATGCCGCTAATGTCAGAACACTTCAAAGAAAACTTGTCACGGTTGAACGTAAATGTCACAGTAACTTCATTCTTCCGAAGAACACAAGGGATTTTTCTTCTGATACAAAAACTGATTTCCTGTCTCATATCTATAGTGAAATATCATCCCTGTTCAATGTTAGCTATTAGTGCCTCAACATAACATGAGCCAGTGATGATGACTGGGAAGAACATGAAAGTCTAGTAAACCGTGAACGTGAGCATTTCAAATGATCAAGAATGCATGAAAGTTAGTTTAAGTGTCTTGTGTTCGAATGCAGCCTGAAGAATGTACCTCGAGGATACAATGGAGGACATTTAGATCGGTGACGAAAACCCAATGTCACAAATCCAATAGTCGAGACTTCCTGTTGATTGCTTCCAATCATCATAATATTAAGTAGTTAATGATTACATTACACATTAGTAGATGCGATTCGATTAGCATTAGTGGATTTATAACATAACATTAGATACAGCTCAGTAATCAAACAGTACAATGCTACATGTAGTCCATATAATTTCTGTAAATTCCACTGGTTATTGGTGAATTTCAACCTGTCATCGCTTTGCAGGTGAATTGAAAGAAAATTTGCCTAACCTTGAATTCGTACTAACTGTTTTCGGGTGCTGTTTTGTTTTGCTAGATGTAGATGATTCCGTTACGAAGTATTCATCGATATTCTGAGCAACGACACTCATCAACATAATGTATTTTACATTCTTCAGGAAACTAGCTGTTATATCTTGAACTTAGATCCTTAGAATACTCGAACATATATCTTCCTGTTTTTGCTTAGGACTAAAATAGATCAGTTTATCTCTTATTGACATATGTGTATATTGCGTATATTGCTTCCATATTGCCTTAATTCACAGAAATTATAAGTAAATATGGATCGTGGTTAATAGTAAAAATTCCAATTTGATGTGCGTTTCATCCTATTTTTGACTCATCAGCTGAATGCACCTCATATCTCAGAGTTAATGTTCAACTCTCCATTTTTGCTTATTGAATTCATTCCATGTTTTACTTTCATATTTAATAATTAAACTTTTATTCCTTTTAAATCTAGTTGAAAAACAAGAAGAACGTTATTTAACAGAATTGGATAGTAACTAAGTAGGTTAGTGATTTGTTTGTTTGTTTATACAATTAAATCATAACATGAACATCTAGATTAGAATAGAACCAAATCAACAAGTAACTAGTGATGATTTTTATCTGAAGGTAATTTAATACAACAAAACAAAATGGTACCTAATTTGTAAGGCAAGTGCTGTAACTTTTCTACAACTATTAATCATATGGGGAATGAATCTTCTTGTTATACTGATGTAAGTTCATTTCATTCATTTGGAATCATCTGAACATTTGATTCTGTTTATAATAAGTAGTGCACTGAAGGATTCGTTACTATCCATAAACTGGTTTGTTGGGCTGTGTTTGTAAGTTATCAATTGTTTGGTATATCTACTTCCGTTATGGTAACGGTGTTGTTTTTTGAAAATATAATTAATGAGTAGATGTGATGAAACAGTTAATGTTGAAGACACACATCACAGTCAGCATCTAACATGGATTACCCCTTTAAAGTATCAAAGTATTTTGATTTCTTCGAAGATCGTATAACAAAAATAACGTTATTATAGAAATATATTCGTTAGAGTAGGTACAAGCGAAAGTGTGACCACCGCAACCACATGAATCAGTCCATGCCACACAACTAACTGATGCACGTTTGTTATCCGTGAATTTGACAGGGATCAATGATGTGTTCGATATTCAGTGATTCAATTGCCAGATGATTTGGCTAGAGCTCAATGACATTGCACTTGCACCTCATCTTCAAATGTCTAACATAAGAAATAGAACTGTTTACTGAATATTAATAAGTAGCATAAAACAACACACAAAATACATGTCAAATTAAGAAAGAATATGGACAGAAAATACAAGCGAACTTAAAACCTGGTGTATTGTATTAAGACTGGGATTTCAATCTTGCCAAAATTAACATTGTTCCGGTCGGCTTTTTCATTATTTAATCAAATTGTTCAACATATAGAGAGCTAGAATAGTAAGAAACGTAAGGATATTAAACGTGAATGTAAGTGGAAACTAATAATAGAATTAGAGTTACAGGATCATAGAGGGATGTGTTTCGCTGATTAGTTTTGAAGATACCACAGGTATTGTAGTTTGACAACACCTTACCATTAACACCTATAATCAAATCGCGCCCAACCAGTGAAATCAAAAGTCAGAAGCGAGGAGGTTGGAAGATATATTTGATGGGTTATCAATATATGGAGAAGTGACTGATCTAATGTGGCTAATGATCGTAGGAGATGTTTCGCATGCCGTTGTGAAACGTGATCTGGTGCGGATGCATGACCGAGCGCCTTCA